TGGTTGTCAAACTGGAGTCAGAGTAATTTGAAATGAATGAACTTGTCTTATCATTTAAGAGTGCCCTACGTCCAAAGAAATATAACCTACATCCTAAACCATACTACCAGAGCGATGTGCCAATACCAATCTCCGTTACTGAGGGAAGGTCATTTGGGAATTAGAGTTTACGGTATTACACACTACTTAGTGACCTTTTTTTTCAGTTTTTTTTTAATCTTGCATTCAACAAATATTCCATATATATATATATATGTATGTGTGTGTGTGTGTGTGTGTGTGTGTGTGTGTGTGTGTGTTTAAAATATATGTTTAAAAAATATATATATATATATGTGTATACATGTATATATATATGTTGAAAAATATGTTTAAAAAATAAATATATAATATAATATAAAAGCAAGCATTTTTGAAAAAAAAAAGAAAAATAAGACATTCGCTCTAAAAGATTATTAAAACTCATTGAACCTAAAAATTAAAAAAATAAATCAATAAAAAGAAAAATGAAGTCCTGAAGGACTGGATTTGCTTTATATTTGTTCACAGTAGCAATGCACGAACAATTTGGAGCTCATTTTGCTTTTTTTTTTTTTTTTTTTAAATCTGGTTTTGTATCGACCGGAGTGAAGTTCTCTGTTCCCCGTTCGACTGAAGTGAATAGCAATGTTATTTTGTTAGCTCTGCGCCATCTGCTCCTGTCTCCTGAAAGCAACAGGTCGGAGCCTGTTCTCCGCAGGCTCCTGCCTACATTTAAGGGGCTGGTAAGACGCCCAACACATGGCCAATAAAAACACTTTCGAAAAGGATCCCCAGTGTGGGAGAAAGTGGTGCCTGAGCGGACGCGCCGTCTCGCGTTTTGACATCAGCCGTCAGGTGCCGAGTCGCCCCGTGCCCTCGGCCCACCGCTTCCAATTACATGGCCCACAAACTCCCCCACTGATCACGTTTGCCTTCCCCGGACCACCGTGAAGGTGCACCAATGTCGCCGCCTTCTCCTCACGGCTTTGGATCGATCCCGGCTGCTACAGGCCAATGAGCTCATGAGCGTTAGCGGTCGCCTAAAGGAGAAAGATGCGCTCCTAATATTGCATTAAAAGACCAGACATGATGAAAACAACAGCAGCTGGAGTCTCCTACGAGGTCCCTAATTGGGAACAAGTGTCGCCTGGGATTTTGTGTTGATTTGATTAGGCTTCATTACAACTCCAACGTGACTCTGAAGTGCCGTTTTTGGGTCCGGACCAGAAGCAGGAGACGATATATGGTGTGCTCACACGGTTGGCTTCAGTTCACTTGAATCTGCCATCTTCAAGATCAAGATTACATTTTCAGTGCCGGGCATTGACGGTCGCGTATATAAATTAGGTTGTGAGCTTTGCCGTCAACAGTGAAAAAAGTAATTCACACACACTATTAAGAATTGTCCGTATTGATGGTTTCAATTGTAAATATACCACAAATTACGAGCCGAAAACTGTTTCATAGAATTTCAAGCTGGTGACTTGAAGTGTGAAACGTGAATGTGAACGCAGGGAATTACCGTATTTTCCGCACGATAAGGCGCTTTGGAGTATAAGGCACACTTTCAATGAATGGCCTGTTTTAAAACTGCTTTCCTGTATTGGGCGCACCGCATTAAAAGGCGCATAGAATAGAAGCTACAATAGTGGCCGCGGTTGCGTTATGCATCCACTAGATGGAGCTATGCTGAAGGGAATACAATACAAAACAATACAATACAGTTTTATTGACTGTATATAGAGCTTTCACAACCGCTGCAGCTGTAACAAAGCGCTTTACAGATCATTTAAAATAACAAATCAGAATACTGATCCATATAGAAGGCGCATCGGAGTATAAGGCGCACGGAGAAAATTGAATGCTTTTAGGTGCGCCTTATCGTGCGGAAAATACGGTACACTCTCCTGATACTGAATGGGTATGACTTGTTAAAATATCGTTTTGATACCCATGTGTGTCTTGGTCTATTTAAGCCAGACAGTACCGAAATGGTTTTGCCAAAGGTTTTGCCAAGGGTCCAGGATTTCAACAAGTCTCTCTTGCTTGATGCTCTTTTTTTTTTTTTTTTAGCCTTGGTCCTTCTTTATTTCAGACGAACCCAAGATTGGTTTGTGAACAGGATCATAAAACAGTCTTAACCGTTCAAATCTTGTGAATGTCCTCTTCCATGTCTGTTTCTGCCAAACTGTACTAGAGTCATGTTGCCAGTCGATCCAGTGTCAGGTCTTAAAGTGCTCTCATTTGTTTGGTGCGCGTCAGCTTTCAGGTTATGCCGTTGATACAGCTGAGACAGACCTGAACTGTCCTGAGCCTGTGATGTTTGATGTTTTGATCCTGTTCCCTGTCTTTGGACCGTGTCTGATTCAGCCCAACTATTCCAAAATCAGTTAGCCAACACTCTGACAGCCACGTTTTCAAATGGGCTAGCTTGTTTGGGGCACATCAAGGTTTTGATGATACCTTAAACCCAGCTTAATTGGTACAATTGAGTTTTTTTGGCATGTACTTTTTAACCCTGATCCTCATCTTTGGTCCGTGCATTCCAGATGAGACTTATGAATGAGGTCTTACACTTCAGAGTTCAGATGACAGCCTTTTTAGACTTAGTTTTCCTCGAACCAAAGTCCAAAGTTGTTGTTGGTGTTGGTGTTGTTGTTGTTGTGGTAATATTCTGCACAACAGCGCTGACTCCGATTCTGTTGAAACACACCGCATGCTTGGAGTCGATCTTCCAGCCCGAGGGCAAAAAGAGGCTGGTCGCACTTTGTCCTGGAATGCAGTTGACTTTCTAAATCCCCCAGCAGTCTATCCTGGGGCGACGGGGGCAGGGCCTATCTCAGCCCCCCCCACCCCCTCTTTTTTTTTTTTTTTTTTTTTTTTCCACGTGAGCTTCTCCTGGAATCTCCAAACGAGCAAACAAGCAGCCAGTCAGCGGGTCAACTGGAGATTCGTCCCTTCTCGCTGCAGGCTTTGTTTTGTTTTGTTTTTAGAGGTGGGGGGGGGGGGCAGGGGAGAGGAGAATGCTGAACTTGCAATAAAGGTGGAAATGGCAGATGAAGATTGTTCCCGTGCGGAAGGTAATGTGTTTCTTATCCTCACATACCACTCCACCGGTGAGCGCAGTTCACTCTGAGTTTGTTTTGTCTACTGAGTGTAATTTAGTGAGCGGTGAGTGGGAAACTGTTTGGGAGTTAAAAATAGGTCTGGAAGTATATGAGACATGCCGTGGCCCTGATTTTGAGCAGGGTGTCGGTTGCGGGGAGAGCTGGGGGTGGGTGGGGGGG